ACAATTATTATTATAGATTGCTCATTATTTATTACATGTTAAAATATGTATATTGTCGTGTCTGCCCAGATATTGCAAAACAACTTCTTTGTTTCACATTTAACTTGTTTTATCTTGATTACGTTGTTCTTTGATTTCTTGTGCTCACTTTATGTCATACGTATGTAAGAGCTTTGTTGAATTTACTAACATTTTCGCCCTTGATTATTATTATTGTTGTTGTTCTCCGAAATCTCAACTCATAGCTGGATTGCCTCCCGTATGGGACTCCAGTACCTTCCCTATTATTATTGTTATTATTATTATTGTTGTTGTTGTTGCTATTATTGTTACTAAAACCTCTTCAGTTTTACTTGGAAGTGTGTATGTCAGAGTTGAGTGAGATGACATTTAGTGAGAAATTAAATAAGTCCAGTTTTGATGATCATTAGCAAAGGTTCTTAATATATGCCTTTGGTTAGCAGTTGTTTTGTATTTATATTTGGGTAGTAAGAGCAACGATCGTGGGTTTCTCTGCCACGCTCTTTCCCCGCAGGAGCTCTAGGTGAGTCTGGCACTCTCATTTTATGTTAAGTGGTTGTTAATGTTTTTGTTGTTCTTTCTATTGTCACATGTTTAATTTGAATTGTGTGTAAATAAAGGTTAGGTGTATTTACTCTGTTTTTGTTTTTATATAATTAAACCATACATCCCCTCTACAAAGTTAGTAGCCAGCGCCTTCCGGTCAATTAAAAAAATAGATACACACAACGTAGGTAGTCCTTATGACGATCACATATTTTTGGCCACAACTACGTTTATTTATTTTTTGTCGAACCTAGGGTTGTTATACTACAGGGTGTGGATTTTTGCGTTCAATCTACAAATTTTGATGTTGTGCAGTGTTTTTTAAATCTCACAACTCCTACAAAATTGATGTATGGTGATAATAACCGTCATGACTTCTTCCTCTTTCAGGCAATAATGACATCTATTTTTTTATTTGATAGGTGATTTGAAATTTGGCCATTTGAAATTTTTTGGGCCTCTTATAGAATTTCGATTAAATGAGCGGTAAAAGAATATTTTTTAAATGTCTACATTATCCTGCCACATATATTACGAGTACAATACTTAACAAAGTGCTAGTAGTCACTGATTTTGTAGGACTGTAATTTTAGTCTTTGTACCTGCCAATTCTACGATAAAATATACCACACATGCTCATTTTTCGATATGGATACACACATACGACGAATTAGATTTATTTGCAACGTGCTCAACTTTATTGAAATAATTCGTAAAAACAATCAAATACGATAAAAATGATGGAGATAAAAGTAACAAAGTTGAGGTTATTAAATTTAGTACAACTTATTATAAAAACTGTTCAAAATGATCACCGTTGTTTCTACAACAAAAGTTAATTCGAGGAAGAAAGTTATTGAACACACTTTGCAATTCTTAAGTTTTCTTTAATTCAACGTTACTGTTGTTATTTTATAATTTTTGGTAACGATGAGTAATCTTTTTAATAAATTACATATTCTGTAAACACTTTGACGTCAATATGAAGTAAATAACTTTAGAAACATTCTACTAAAATATGTTATTTACAACTTAATAATTATACTTCAGTGTTGACATTCTCAAACAATTTTAAAATATTCTTAGAACTCTGAAAAGCACTGCTACAAATAATAACTAGTAAAAAAAATGAGTGGTAGAGAAATACAAGATTTCACCGAATTCACCGCAGTGTATTTTTCTCAATAACAAGTCAATGTAAATCGCAGAATTATAAAACTGTTTAACCTTGGCTGCCGACAGACATGATGTAACATAGAAAAACGTTATGTAAACTAAATACAAGTCGACAATAACTGAAACTTATTTTTTCACGTAATAACCTCTCGAATTAATCTATGAATGAATTGTATTCGACCTGAATGTTGATATTGCGCAACCAGGTATGTAACGAATTTGTTGCCGCTTCCTGTATTTTTAAATTTACAGTTTCCAGTCGTACGAGTACATATACACTTATAATAATAAATATAATACGGTATACGAAAACAATAGTTGTCGAAACGTAGTACGAAAAAAACTGGTAATAGCGAGGTAAATAAATATTCTCGTGACCTTGCCCCTCCTTGCCGCTAAACTAAGAAATCCGTTTAAAAAATTTCTACCTGAACGTTTGGTGAAGCAGTCAATATCATGCTTTAATCAGTTCATCTGAATAGCATCTGGCCTATTCACTTTTTGTTCTAATAACAGTAAAATTTATATTCACTGACATTCTTTCAAAATTTGTTTTAGTTTGAAACAGTAACCACAGGTTCTGATTGCGTCTTGAAGGACACTATGAAAGGCAAAGATTTAGAAATGATGACGTTGATTTAAAACTTAATTCAATTTCTCCATATCAATATCATAGCCATTCAGAAATAATCTAGATCTAAATAGGTATCGGTTTATATGTTAATAATTAAAAAAATATATATATAAGGTGCATTTCCCAATAGTAACAATACAGGGTGTTTCTGAAGTAAGTGCGTCCTTGAAAAGGCTACGAAAATCAGCAACTTTTACTAAGCAACCGATGGTCTATATGCTTCTGTTTTCGAGAAAATTACTTAAGAAAATTAACCATACACGTAGACCGACCCTGTGCATCTTGTGCACGTGCACGGGCAGAATGCTTCGGACTCGCTACATGCGTGAAGCGCTTCTCTAATTGGCTGACGTTCCACATGACTTCTACAATCAAGCAAATCTGATGGTAGGTCAGTATGTCTTGTGTTTTTTAGTTGTGTATTGCAGTACTTGGCTGGCGTATAAAATGTTTTCTGATCAAGAACTAGCAGATAAGGTGTTAATGTACGGAGAATGTCAGTACAATTTAAATGAGATTTATCGTTTGTATACGGTCCCTTATCGTAACAGATGACAATCTAACAGTAGAACAATGTAAAAAGGCAGTTCAAAGGTTACGGGATACCAGGAATGTCCACCTGTCCTTTTGAAGGTTGTGGATGGGAAAGGCCGCAACCCGCAACATCTTTTCGACAACGAAGAAAACATACCTCGTTGAGGAAGATGCTAGGCGTAGTACTCGCGACATTAGCTGAGAAGTGCATTTATCTAACAACACCGTTTGGCGTGTACTACAGGAACAATTATTACACCCCTATCATGTACAAGGGGTTCAGGAATTTTGCATGTGATTTCGACATCAAATAGCACATGATCCGGCAGACACTCACTATTGGTGTGATGCCATGTTTCTCGTACAGTTTGTGAACGTTTTTTCCGGAAAGGCGGATAGAACAAAATGGTCCTGTACGTTGGCCAGCACGAAGTCCGGATATGCATCATCTAGACTTTTTTGTTTGGGGCTGTATGAAATAAAACATGTACCGAACGCCTACTGTCGATGCAGGAGATCTACAGCAAAGTATGTTTGTTGCAGCTAATGAAATTCGACAAATGCCGGGACTATTTGCTCGTATGCGGACTAATTTTGACCGTTGTTTAGAAGTACGTTTATCAGCACATGGAAACAACTTGGAACAATTTTTGTAGATCATATGGTCTATTGGTAAGTAATTCGTTTGTTCGTTAAATTTTTGTGTTACTTTTAAACGAGATTTGAATAAATTTCATCATTTTCGAACACAAAATTTAAACTGACAAATCCGCCATCAGCGGTTTCGCACTGCGGCGCGCGGTAACTTCGATATCAAAGGTACAACTGGAATGACTTTAAATTTGTTTAAACTCGCATGTGAAAATTATTTTTCAATTTAAAACGTAAGGTTTTAGACTATCAGTTGGTCATATTCGTGCCCTCTTTTCAAGGAACGCACTTATTTCAAAAACACCCTGTATTTCTTATAAGTATAACATAAATCATTTTTTGATTCTGTAAAACTCAGCAGATACTTTGCTCTTGAGTGACGTCAATAATTAAGACAACAAACAGAATTTTCCACAACAAATTGTAGATCAGAACAATTTTTTCTTTCACAGGAACATTGCAAAGTATTTTTTTCAATCAATATGTTAGTTCGATGTACCCTCAACCATTCAGTGTCAATTTCAAATATGAAACAGTTGAGTTGGGAGTTTCGCAATTATATTATATTTAATTTTTGTTATACATGTACATGAGTTGGGTGTCATGGTAACAGAAGCCCCGCTCCTGCTGGTTATGTACGCGCATGATCAATCTGTGAAATCATATATACATTTATAAATTATAATGTAATAGTACAGTAAATAAACCAAACATATTTTGTACACAATCAATATTTATACATAATAAATAAATTTATGTAGTCCGTTTTTGCAATTGCCAAAAAAACTTGGATGTGAAAATAGGTAGTAATATACAAACTAATATAAAACTTCTTAGAATGGTATTTGAGTGTTTGAACTGGAAACCATATTATCATCATTTAATAGAAAATTAAATTCTATAACTTAATTAATAAGAAACTTGTTTTCAATAGTCAAATGCATTTGTCAAGAATAAAGTATTATGTAGATTCATTTTAAAACAATTTAAAATTTCACATCTGGTAGGTATTCTTATTTTGGAATCGACTGTGTATACAAGATGTTTACAAACACTTTTGGAACCGCTGATTCCATCGATAGCTCGGCTGGTACAAATCACTGTACGTAAAAACATGTAGTTGACCCACAGTTTTCAATAGTGGCTCGAAAGATTACCACTACTCCATTAATTCATTGTGACTGAATTGATGGGCCATTTTAATTATATGTTTTGGTCAAAAATAATAAGTCTAAAGTGAAATTAATTATAATCTAAAATTATTGAAACAACAATTTTTATGCGTGCCACGAAAATGGGACAAAAAGTGAACGTCGAGCTATCTACGGCCACAACCGAGCGATTCCAGAGATTCTCAATAAGTTTTAACAATTCTTAATAACATCTTATTTTATTTATTTATTATTGAAAATTCTTATTATTAATGCAATCTACTTACCATTAAAAAATCCTCGCCAAGTTTGTAAACACCATGTATCTATAATAATAAATCTTGTTTTACTACAAATTATAATTGTTAGGTACCATATAAGCACCAGGCACAATGAAAACTTTCATATTTAATTTTTTTTTTTATAAAGAATGACCACCAACTCACCAAATTGTCTAAGAAGGAAGTGAAGTTAGCAAATAAATTATTCTGTTTTAAGACATAATTAAAGTTACTTTTCATCTCAAACATTTTTATACATAGAGTGATTTTTTCTTGTATGTTAATTTTTGTTATTATTGTTATTATTATTATAGCTAAAGTATATTTAAATATTTTTGTACAATTTTTATTATTTCTATTTATTTCAGATTTCGAGAACCTATTTCAAAAAATATATATTTATTTCTTCTGCAAAGCATCTCATTTATTAATTTCTGCATTTTGTGCAGGGTGATTCAGAAACGGTGACCAAAAATGAAACCTCGTATTCTTTGGTGAATTTTAAGGGTAAGAGTCTTTCCTATAAAGTTTTTATCTAGGACGCTGCGTTAAAAAGATACAGTGTTAAACTTAAAAAAATGTTTTGATTTTTTTTTAAATAATTTAAAAACTAGTGAAATAATTGAAATTGGGCACATGTATTTATGTAAACATCCAAAATCTGAGAACTTTTCCGAAAATTTGGATTTAGATACAGGGTTTCGGTGGCATATTTTTCTAAATAAAATAGTACGCCGCTGCTTTATGGTAACAATCATGATATTTTCAGTTTTCTAAAATTACTACGCTCTGGTTTTCGAGTAGATAGAAACTTTGTAGGAAAGACTCTTACCCTTAAACTTCACCAAAGAATACGAGGTTTCATTTTTGGTCACCGTTTGTGAATCACCATGTATAATGAAACTTATTGAAACGACTCTATTATTAATTACAGAGGCAGGAATTTATCCCTGAACAAATTCAATAGAACCCAAAAAATAATTACGGCATTCCCAGAATCGCCCATATCCCGTTAACATCCTGCCGTTGGTATCTACGCAAAACAAACAGAACAAAAAAATAATTTATTTGTCACTGGAACGGTCCGGTGGTTTTATTAGGAGTATCAAACGCTAAAGCATTTGGCTGTTAAACTATCAATCAAGTAAAAAATCTAATTAATTCGTTAGCCATCGATCGGTTTTGCCGCATTGTGGAATTTTTCGACTCGGGCCCATCCCATTTGTTAACGCTATAACCATTTAAGCATCTGTCGAGGCGAAATTTTATGCATGAACGGTAAATTAAACATTTTATACATTTTCATGGTTGGTTTATGTAAATGCGCCGTGGATAACGCGATAAGTATTCTACGTTTTTGGAGTCGGAGGTGTGTTCTTGATTTCTCGACGTTCACGTAAAAGGAAAAGCAGACTATCTATTCGTTATTAAATTAAAACTGCACATTTAGCGAGTATTCCATTACATCGCTATATATAGTACATAATACAAATGACCACAAGCCACGTGACCAGTAATTTTGTCTGGAACAGTAATTTTATTTTCTTCATGTTAGCCATTAAATTTCGGTAAAATTCGGTTTGTCATTATAGGTCAGGAAATATAGAGTTGGACGCGACTTTTTGTTTCGGCAAGCTGAATTTATCACTATAGACGCTAAATATTAAAACATATTAGTTTCTACAGTCATAAAAATGGAGGGAAGATTGTTTACAGGGTGGTTAATTGTATAATTTTTACGTAAATTCACGTTTTTCGCTTATAACTTTTTTCTGTTCATTTCCACGAGAAAACAGTAAAGTACTTTTTTTTCGTTTTCAAAAAATATTGATTAGATCAAAAGTTATAAACAGAAGAAGTTTATTTATGACTTTTGAATTAAACATTAATTTATAAACTGCGTTATTATTACCAGAACGTTTTGGCATCGCATCCTCTCATTGCTTATCACTATCTAATAACTCACACGAAATCTGGAATCGGTAAGTTGAATAGTTTACAAGTTATGGCCTTATAAACATATTAACTAATTATTAGTCTGGACGATCCCGAGCATCTTCCACAATCGCACTGATTTTTTTCATGGTAGATTTCATAATAATACATTGAAATCTATCATTTTTTTTTAAATTTCAAATTTGCAACCTGGAAAGTTTTTTATTTTTTAGCCCTAGTTGCAAAATGAAAATATACGACGCACGCGCGTGATATAGTTATATATTATTACATATTCGGAAAGCTTATGAAAAGAGCTTTAAGTTAAAAAAAATCGTCAAGATTCGTTGAAAAACAACGTCGTCAAAGTTGACGGCCCATTGTTAAACAAATTAGGTTGATAGCGGCAAAAAAAATACTGTCGTAACGGCAACCCGAGTACTTTCCCAGATAAAAATATTTTATTTGTGGAAGTATGTTAAGTGCATAAGAAATATTGTTAAAAGTCAGTGAGTCAGTAATATTCATAGTGCTGCCGATAAAATAGCGAAATTCGCTTGAAAATAATATATATGACAGTCTGTAACTTAGCTCCGTTGTTTTTTAACGAATCTTGACGATTTTTTTTAACTTAAAGCTCTTTTCATAAGCAATTGATAACATGTTTTAAAATTATGTATTATTTAATTTGTTTGCATTATCTTAGTACTTTTAAAATTGAGCAAAAAAATATATTTATTTTATTTCTAATAATTTGAACTTGTCTATAAACTAAATACAGACAATCTAGATAAACCAGGAGCTAAATATTTTAATAATTTTAGCTAAATTCTAATAGCGTTATTAGGGACTTTACTAGAGGAGTTAATATTTACTGCAAATACTGTTATAGTAGTAAAGTCCTTTAATTAAAAATACAGCGCTATCCAAAAAGTTTGCACCATATGGGGAAAAACTTTATGTATAAATTTAATAAATTTCTTCGATTTTCAGTTGTCTCTGCATGTCGTCAAATTAAAATAGCGCCCATCGAATTTCAAAGCATATTTCGATCTACGTTTACATGAACTTTTTTCACAAAATATGTTCGGCAACCACTCCTTAAAATATTTCGCACTTATTTACAAACACTCTTTGATTAAATCCTATAAAAATAACGTTCTCAGTTGGTGTCAACTTTTCAGTAGTCGTTACACTTATATACAAGGTGAAACAAATTTACAACGATTTCAGGAACTATTAGAGATACTGGAAACTTAATACAGACAAAGTGGTGTATAAATTTCTTGCTTCGCAACATTTCACTGAAACAAAATTACTTCATTTGTAATTTATTAAAAAAGTAAAAAAACTGTTTTTTTAATATTTAGCTATAACTACGTTTTTTAGGAAGGTGAAGAACTTTAATCAGTTACCCAGGAACTAGAAGATTCAGAACTCAATCATCGTACAGAGCACTTCACTCATGCTTAATATTTTTTTCTGTATGTAAAATTTTAACAAAATCTGCTGTGGCGTAGAAATTTAGAAGAGTTAGAGAAATTTTCAGGAGTCAAAAAACTGTGTCTTCGCAGATAACACAGCCACACAGAAAAAAAAAGTTGGGTATACTTTTTATGCGACATATATTTTTCGTAGTAATTTGGCCTCCTGAACACGAATCTGGGGTCAGAATTGGCCCATCACGTCACAATTTTTTCCTAACCTCAAAAAACTTGTGAAAAATAGTGAAAATTGATGAAAATTTACTGGGAAAATTTGGAAAAAAATTTATTTCCACATCAAATAGTACATTTTTATGTAAAAGACTCTGCTGAATTCAAATCCACTGTCAGAATTGAGCTAGAACGTGTGGTTTTTTTTCTAACCTCAAAAAACCGAGCAGGAATCGCTATTTTCAAATTCTGAGCGGATTTTGACCAGATTTTGTATAAAGGGGTTTTTTGGGTCGCTGATTACGAATATGAATTCACATTGTAAAAATTCAAGATGGCTGATCCAATATGGCGGGTGTACTTTTTTGAAATCCACCGATTTCAGTAAAATTTGGCATCATAAGGATTGCTGGTTGATCTCACCTTCATTAATCACACATCTGGAGCCAGATTTTCATAAATCAAGGTAAAATTTGTAGGCAGAGTCATAATTTTAGGCCGAGTAGGCGGCATTTTTTCGGCAAAGTCACATTTTTAGATTGAAGGCATAAGCAGATGCAGTGATGTGCTGTGTGGCAGTAATGTGTCCTTTTCCTTGAACTTTAAAATTATTAAGAAATAAAAGCATCTAAATGCCATAGGAAAACTGCATAGTAGTTAAAAAAATCTGATTGGAAAACCATAAGCCCATGCACGACTAAATAAATGAAAGAATAAAGTAGAAACTTTTTTGTCTTGTCCCATGGAAACAAGCACATCACACTACACATCATTACATGTGTAGAGTCCTTAAGTCATTTTTTTAAGCGAAGTCACATTTTTAGACGGAGTGGAATCTTTTACCTTGATTTATGAAAATCTGGCTCCAGATGTGTGATTAATGAAGGTGAGATCAACCAGCAATCCTTATGATGCCAAATTTTACTGAAATCGGTGGATTTCAAAAAAGTACACCCGCCATATTGGATCAGCCATCTTGAATTTTTACAATGTGAATTCATATTCGTAATCAGCGACCCAAAAAACCCCTTTATACAAAATCTGGTCAAAATCCGCTCAGAATTTGAAAATAGCGATTCCTGCTCGGTTTTTTGAGGTTAGAAAAAAAACCACACGTTCTAGCTCAATTCTGACAGTGGATTTGAATTCAGCAGAGTCTTTTACATAAAAATGTACTATTTGATGTGGAAATAAATTTTTTTCCAAATTTTCCCAGTAAAGTTTCATCAATTTTCACTATTTTTCACAAGTTTTTTGAGGTTAGGAAAAAATTGAGACGTGATGGGCCAATTCTGACCCCAGATTCGTGTTCAGGAGACCAAATTACTACGAAAAATATATGTCTCATAAAAAGTATACCCAACTTTTTTTTTTCTGTGTGGCTGTGAATTTTTGAGAATTTGATAAGCTTCCTCCAACTAAATCTCCTTGAAGTTTTTTTTGAAAAAGTGCACT